ATGACCGAGACAACTCTCCGGCCAATAACCAACAGCGGGATCTGGATACCCATGTTGGCTCCCACATGTTCCACGATGATCTCATCGGATGAACCACAATGTCGAGGATTCAAGCAATCCCGTATACAATTCCCTTTGTCAATCGGTACGTTACTTGCCCGAGATTTGATCGTCGGTATCCCAATACCTCGTTCAATCTCGTTACCGGCAAGTCACTTTACTCGTTCCGTAACACATCATCCCGTGACCAACCCTTAGTCACATTGAGCTCATTATGATGATGTCTTACCGAGTGGGCCTAGAGATACCTCTCCGTCATACGGAGTGACAAATCCCAGTCTCGATTCGTGCCAAGCCAACAGACACTTTCGGAGATACCCGTAGTGCACCTTTACAGTCACCCACTTACGTTGTGACGTTTGGCACACCCGAAGTATTCCTACAGTATCCGGGAGTTGCACAATCTCATGGTCTAAGGAAAAGATACTTGACATTAGAAAAGCTTTAGCAGACGAACTACACGATCTTGCGCTATGCTTAGGATTGGGTCTTGTCCATCACATCATTCTCCCAATGATATGATCCCGTTATCAATGACATCCAATGTCCATGGTCAGGAAACCGTAACCATCTATTGATCAACGAGCTAGTCAACTAGAGGGTCACTAGGGACATGTTGTGGTCTATGTATTCACACATGTATTACGATTTCCGGATAACACAATTATAGCATGAACAATAGACAATTATCATGAACAAGGAAAAATAATAATAACCATTTTATTATTGCCTCTAGGGCATATTTCCAACATGTTATTGGCCTTGATTACCGTGTGATGAGAGAAAATAATTTAAAGTGCATTGGGAAGATAGAAGTACACTTTTTTGTGGACAAATTTTGAACTCAAACCTACACTCTTCATCGGGCGGAGTGAGTAATAAACTAAGTGTTGCATGACACCACACATATGTTACTCCCCACTATAAAAGTAGTAACATATGCATGCAATTAGTCTAAGTTACTCCCCATTATGATCAGTCTTATTACTTCATAAAGTCATTTTACATTGGGAACCTCTATGTGATGGTAACATATGTTATTCTATTTGCATCTCTCTTCATTAATTACTTGCCACATCATATTTTTGCTTATATGGCATGCATGTTACTACTTATGTTTTTTAGGGGAAAGATTGCAATTATATTAAAATATCATCATAGTCATTGCAATTAGATAGCACCAGCAGCACCAAATCCAGTGATAGTTGGCCCATATAGACTGCCCCCATACCACTGATCTAGGTTTGCTTGGCTAATTCATGAGCAAACTTGTTGCCATATCTCGCTATATTTCGAAAGACAATGTTCAATCTATCCTGCTATGATCAGCCTTACGACCAGTGTGCGTTGATATACTTTTGTTTGCGGGATTTTCCATTGTTTTCCACCATGCATTGCTATTTGTAAGTCGTTTCGATTAACGTCTTGAGCATCATTTAAATATAATTTGGTTGTGTGCATCTTGTAGAGGTCAGAAAGTAATCCTCCTAGTATTATATCAATAAAACATCTGCTGAAAAAAGAAAACAGACTAGACTATCGAGTCCACCCTGACTCCCGTGTCGCTCTCGACAGCGGCCCAAGAGAACCCTAAATCGTCGTCGCTGCCACCCACCCACCTCACCCTACCTCCCTCGCCGCCGTCGAAGTGCACCGCCGGGCAAAGCATGTGCAGTGTCAGTGGCAGCGGGCCGTTCTCCGTCTCACGAGGAGCACGAGTAGCGTGTGGGCGGCTCGACCACGGAGATGTGGATCTCAACGAGGCGCCGTCGGATTCATGGAGGCTGGCCGACGACGCGGTCAGCGGCGTGCGCGAAGGTGGGAGGGCGTGGCGTTGCTGCGCCATGGCACTGGCGGATCTGGCACAGATGCCAGCGCGCGAGGTGGAGGGGAGAGTGGAGCTGCGCGGGGTGGCGCAGATCTGGCGCGGCTGCCGGCAGGCGTGTGGAGGGGAGGAGTGGTGTTGCGTGCGGACAGGCGCGAGCTACGCTGTGTAGTTTGTGTGAGGGGTGCCTAGGAGCTCGTCTGCTCGCTGGTTGTCCGCGAGTGCTGGTTGTGATTCGCGCCATGGTATGTTTGCGGTTCGCGCTCGGCTGCGTTTGGCGCGGTAGATGTGTGGCTGCAGTCAGATCCATGGCGGCGAGTGCGCGTGTTGCTTAGGCGTTGTTCCTTGTGCGGATCTGCGGCGTGTTGGGCGTGGGATGGGTGCGAGCATCGGCGTTGCTGCCGACCACAAGCCGTGCTGGAGAAGCTGTGGGAGATGAATGGCACCCTTGCTCGGTGTTGCATCCTCCTGATGGTGGTTCGGAAAGCTCGACGCGGCCTCGGGTGGGAGGACGAGATGGTGGTAGCTGGAGGGAGAGGAATGGCCTCGCTGCAGTTGTTGCATCCTCCGTCGGGAGATGTATGGTCGACAGACGTTGCATCCTCGGGGAGACGAATGGCGTCTTGCTTGGTTGCATCCTTCCGATGGGAGAAGAATAGCGCCCCTGTGGGTTGCATCCTTCGTCCAGCGGGGGACACGGGTGCAAGGTTAGAAGCATGTCGAGCTTGTCGGGGAGGTGCGGTTGGCCGTGGAGGCAGGGGTAGTGGTTCAGTGTGCAGGCTGGTCGGATCCTGGGTTCGGGCTTTGTAGGTGAGACTGCCAACGAAAGTCGTGCTCCGGTTGTGGCCGGAGTCATTGATGGTGGTGCCTTCAGGCATGGCTCCCTCATTGCATCGATGTAGGTGCTCTCACCTTGCCTTTCCCGACGTGCTCCAGGGGAACCCTTGATCTAGTTTAGATCGGACGATGGCAGCGGTATGCGGCGTCGCGTTCTCTCTTGGGGGCATCGCCCTGGAGGTGGATTCGGTCAAAGGGACCCGTGGCTTGCGAGGATGTGTGTTGCATGTTGTATGCTGAAAGGCATCGTCTGTATGATTTTTGGGTCCAGTTTCCCTCATAAACTGGACCAACCTTCTATCGATTCAATGAATTTAGCAGTTCTCCTGCTAACATTAAAAAAAGTAATCCTCCTTCATTATCTTTAAATTAAGAACCACGAGTGTGAGTGTATTTTACAGTTTTGAGTGTAATTACTCCTAGAAAACAAAACTACGTGGATATTTGTCACTTTCTTGGATACAAAAATTAGTCGCGTAGGCCACCCTCATAGTAGCACGTCAAAAGCATGTTGGTCCAAAACCTCAACGTCCCATGTATGTGATGGTGATACCTGTGGACCTCAGGGCTTCTCGTCTCTATTCCCGTTCGCCAATCCTCAACCTGGTTCATTTGGAGCACTCACCTCAACAAATAATGAAAGAACCCCTTATTTAACATCATGTTTCAATTTTATATGTCCTATTTGATATTGACAAATAATTTCTTTCCTATCTAACAAGCCTAAATTTTATGCATTTTATGGAGTGCGGCGAATCTGCATCCGGGCTCAGCTGCACCCCCGCTCACGGAAAAAATCAAAACAAATACAAAAAAATTCAAAAAATTCCAATTTTTTTGTGTGTGATAGATAATTAGATGCGTGAGGTTCGCTGAAAAATTCAACTCGTTTGGACATTTGAGCAAGTCTGTGCAAAAAAGACAAAATCAAGGTCTGTAAAAAAGTTTACTGTTCATAAGCTGTTTTGACCCGATTTGTCTTTTTTGCCGAGACCTACTCAGATATCCAAATGAATTGAAATTTGGAGCGGGCCTCACGCAACAAATTATCTACCACACAAATTTTTTTGGATTTTTTTGAATTTTTCTAGTATTTATTTTAAATTTTTTCTGACCGGGAGCAGCTGAGCCCGGGCTCCAGGATGAATTATCGCATTTTATGATACTTCTATCCATTTTAAGTCTAAATAACATCTGAAAAGACCCTGTTATCCTTTATGTGGTATGTTTGTGCGGCGTGCGTGCGTGCTGCTGTGTGCATGTGTGCTGCTACGCGTGCATGCGTGTGTGCTGTTGCGTGTTTGTGTGTGTGCATTGTGTGCATGCGCTACTGCCCGCACTGATGTTGTTTGTGTGCTATTGTCCCGCACACACACATACAACATGAGGGATAAAATATATTTTTAGATGTCATTTAAGCTCCAAATGAACGAAGATGTCATAAAAGTCATAAAATTTAGACTCGTTGTTAGATAGGGAAGAAAAAATATTCAATGACAAATAAGAAAACCAAATCTAAAATAGTGTTAAACAAGGAATAGTTTCACCAATAATTAGCTCACCCTCACTCGTTTCCAAACAAGTCACAGCCCCTTGTGGCATTGTGATTGGTGTCCTTGGTTGAGACTCGTGGAGAAGCCTCGCCGAGTGAAGCAGGAAGGAAGGGGGGCAGCTTCCAGGATTTTCTTGCTTTGTTTATGCACACACGGTGGCGGCTTTCACGATGGGCCACTGCACTGCACCCGTTTACGAATGATCAGCGCAGCTACGTACTCCTACTAGCAGTAGTACTCCACATGAGATAGAAATAATCAGCAGTGCCTGTCCGGCCAAGGCCGGGGCCGCCAGTAACCTATCACTGTCGAGACCGACGCCGCGCATCGACAACACACATATTGTATTCATGCCCTTTACCTGCCAGATAGGTCAAGCACGATCACGCGTCGGCGCGAGCGAATCCGGAAGGTCCGAAGAAGCATCTGCGCGAGCGAGACTTTCCTGGTCTCGCCGCATCCGCAGGCAGATCGTGGCTGCGCGCTAGAAAGGGGAATGGCAAGACGACCCGAATGTGGCAAACACGATATTCATAGCTCGACAGGTTTGCTTTCAATCTGCAAAAAAAGATCCACAGCTCCACGGGCTTGGAAGATGGAATCGGCCTACATAGCTCCTAGGAGTACTCTACTCTTTGCTTAGAATGATCGATCTCCGGCGGTCTTCTCCGTCTCTCCGTGGCGGCGCGGCGCCTATGTACAAGTCAGCGCGCTGGCTTCAGAGCTCACTGGAAGCCGCCCAGGCCGTTGAGCAGCAGCTCGTGCGGGCGCAGCAGGGTCGGGGTGGCCGCCAGCGGCAGCGGGGACGGGTAGGACATGTCGTAGTCGGAGGCGTCCGGGAGGTCGGCCCAGAGCGCGTCGCCGGGCATGAGCGGGGCGCGGCAGAGCGGGCAGGTGCGCTGCCCGTGGCCCATCCAGCGGTCGATGCAGCCGCGGTGGAAGACGTGGCGGCAGTTGGGCAGCCGCCGCACCTCGTGGCAGCCGCCGATGCCGCAGAGGCAGACGGCGCAGTCGCCGTCGCCGCACACGGACGGGGAGGACGCCAGCAGCTCGTCGAACCGCAGCACGGGGAGCGCCTCCTCGACGGCGGCCATCGGCGGCAGCGCGCGGAAGTCGGGCCGCCGGTGCTGCAGCGAGGGCGAGGGCGAGGGCGCCGGTCGGTGGTGCGCGTGCCACTGCGCCTCCTCCGCCGTGGGCACGGGCGCGCTGCCGCCGAGGTCGATGAGGTCGCCCAGGCCGACGGCGTGGAAGGCCCAGAGGAGGAGGCGGTGGAGGTGGCCGAGGAGGAGGAGCGCCTGCAGGAGCAGCCGGGGGAGCAGCAGCTCCGAGTACCCCACGGGGAAGCCCATGGCGTCGATCTTGGCTGGCTCGGGGCGTGCGAGGCGTGCGCGCGTGTCGCGGAGCAGGGCGGAGGCAGGCGAGTCGGGAGAGGCCGGGTGACACACTCACACAGTGGCAGTGGGGCTCTTATATAAAGCGCGGGTCAGCCAGTGAGGGGAGGAGGGAGGTAGGGAGGGAGACGAGTGGGGAGGGGGAGGGGAATAACGCGGAAAGCTCGACGAGTGTGGGTGTTGCCTCGGGCGGCGGTAGTTGGTTGGGACGTGGGTGTGCGTGTTGGCCCGCCTGAGGCTTGGACGGCGGGCTGATGCGCCACCGGCTGGCCCGGTGAGAACCACGGGTAGGTAGGTCCACACTGTGGCGTGCTGCGTAGCTTTGCTTTCGTTCTCGCCCCGTCCACCCCCGCCTCTTCCGCAGCGGGGTGGTAGTATCATGCATCCTTGGGTAGTAATGTTTTTGGTCAAACTAGTAAATTCGTACATGCAATGCACATTAATATCAAACAATATATTAATTATGTGCAGATATTAGGTGTAGGATATTATTTGCGTGCTATTTAGAAATGATATTTGGTATCATATTAATAGCATGCTAAATCTGTTGAGCGCTCATCATCGAAGCAACCTGAGTCGTTGGATTGACCTGGTTTGATGGCCGTGATTTGTTTGATCTGCCCATTTGAGTCTTATATTGGTTTATTATAGATATAGATGAATAGCATGACATATCAAGAAAAAAAGGAAAGAGAAGATACTAAATCATATCATGATACTGTATCATAATAAACGAGATATTAGTATTAGTTTACATAAATAATAAAATAAATGAGTACTATGCATTGTGGTAGTATCATATACTTATTACTCATATCATATTGTGGGATATTAATTTATGATACTAGCCATTGGGAGAGGTCTAATTCTTTTGGATCTGCTCCCTGGATTTACTGTTACCAGCAAAGTAGCATGTGACTTTCCAAATGTAGAACTGAGACGTGTCATGAAACGAGCACTTACAGACGTTGTCATGTGGAGTTGACCTACTTATTTTCGAAAACCTGTATATGGTTTTATAGTGCCACATTGGACACGCAAAACTATGAATCTATATCATTTTAGGCTTAATATTTAGTTATTTGTCAAAAAGATTCACCGAAAGCAAGGTGGTAATATTCGATCGACTAACAAAAAGACCGAGTTTAAATGCTACCAAACATCCAGATCATGTTTGGTTACTTGCATCATATTCACATTTTCGATGAGCCCGGCTCTGTGGAGCCTGGCTAGGGCAAACAACCTTTGGGTTGTGTTCTCCACTTTGTTTGGCAGCTCACATTGCATCAATTTCTACACTGCGTTTTGTTGCCCGTATTTCGGTATTTTGGACAGGGCTCATGCAATACGTTGTGTTTAGTTGCAACATCCAACCCAATTTGTGCTGATTAAGTTAATAGTCACACATGAAAAAGGTTACACAGTACACTAAATAGGTATAGATCTATTCGTTTACGTGCAATAATTAAGCGAAAAAATTACAACATGGAAGTTCTTTGGAACTACGAGATGAAGCTACTGATCGCTCTATTTTTTAATTCATCTTAAAGCTCATTTGTTGCATAATAACTTCATATATCATGTCCCATTGAACCATTCATACCATTCATATGTCCATTATGCATGATTTCCAGTTTGCACTAGTTTCAACACAAGCATTGCATAGTCTTTAGTTTTAGTTTTTTATTAGTTTTCCTTGTTTTGTTGTGCTTATAGGTTATTTGGAACTCCCATGAACTTATCATGATGAATAGGCCAAGCTTCGAATCAATATGACATTACAAGCACCAGATAAAGGTCTTTCGTGGAGTTTTTCAAAATGAGATTTATCGACATACCCTAATTGGATATCCAATATAAGGATGTGTTGGGGAACGTAGTAATTTCAAAAAAATTCCTACGCACACGCAAGATCATGGTGATGCATAGCAACGAGAGGGGAGAGTGTCGTCCACGTACCCTCGTAGACCATTAAGCGGAAGCGTTATGACAACGCGGTTGATGTAGTCGTACGTCTTCACGATCGATCAATCCTCAGTACCGAACGTACGGCACCTCCGCGTTTAGCACACGTTCAGCTCGGTGACGTCCCGCGAACTCACGATCCAGTAGAGCTCGAGGAAGAGTTTCATCAGCACGACAGCGTGGTGATGATGTTGATGAAGCTACCGTCGCAGGGCTTCGCCTAAGCACCGCTACAGTATGACCGAGGTGGATTATGATGGAGGGGGGCACCGCACACGGCTGGGAGAGATCAATGATCAACTTGTGTGTTCTAGGGTGCCCCCTGCCCCCGTATATTAAGGAGCAAGGGGGAGGCCGGCCGGCCCTGTAGGGCGCACCGGGACGAGGAGTCCTCCTCCTAGGAGGAGGACTCCCCTTTCCTACTCCTACTAGGAGGAGGAAAGGAAGGGGGAAGGGGAGAAGGAAGGAGAGGGAGGACAAGGAGGAAAGGGGGGCAAGCCCCCTAGGCCAATTCGGTTTGGGCTAGGGGGGCCGCGTGCCCTGCCTCCTCTCTTCCACCACTTGGCCCATTGAGGCCCAATACTTCTTCCCCGTATTTCCGTAACTCCCCGGTACTCCGAAAAATATCCGAATCACTCGGAACCTTTCCGATGTTCGAATATAGTTGTCCAATATATCGATCTTTACGTCTCGACCATTTCGAGCCTCCTCACCATGTCCCCTATCTCATCCAGGACTCCGCACTACCTTCGGTACATCAAAACACAAAAACTCATAATACCGATCGTCACAGAACTTTAAGCGTGCGGACCCTACGGGTTCGAGAACTATGTAGACATGACCGAGACATGTCTTCGGTCAATAACCAATAGCGGAACCTGGATGCTCATATTGGTTCCTACCTATTCTACGAAGATCTTTATCGGTCAAACCGCATAACAACATATGTTGTTCCCTTTGTCATCGGTATGTTACTTGCCTGAGATTCGATCGTCGGTATCCTCATACCTAGTTCAATCTCGTTACCGGCAAGTCTCTTTACTCGTTCTGTAATGCATCATCCCAAAACTAACTCAGTCACATTGCTTGCAAGGCTTATAGTGATGTGCATTACCGAGAGGGCCCAGAGATACCTCTCCGACAATCGGAGTGACAAATCCTATTCTTAATCTATGCCAACTCAACAAGCACCATTGGAGACACCTGTAGAGCACCTTTATAATCACCCAGTTACGTTGTGATGTTTGGTAGCACACAAAGTGTTCCTCCGGTACTCGGGAGTTTCATAATCTCATAGTCATAGGAACATGTATAAGTCATGAAGAAAACAGTAGCAACAAACTAAACGATCATCGTGCTAAGCTAACGGAATGGGTCAAGTCAATCACATCATTCTCTAATGATGCGATCTCGTTAATCAAATGACAATCATGTCTATGGCTAGGAAATTTAACCATCTTTGATTCAACGAGCTAGTCATGTAGAGGCATACTAGTGACACTCTGTTTGTCTATGTATTCACACATGTACTAAGTTTCCGGTTAATACAATTCTAGCATGAATAATAAACATTTATCATGATATAAGGAAATAAATAATAATTATTATTGCCTCTAGGGCATATTTCCTTTAGTCTCCCACTTGCACTAGAGTCAATAATCTAGTTCACATCTTTATGTGATTAGTTCACATCTCCATGTGACTAATACCCAAAGGGTTTACTAGAGTCAATAATCTAGTTCACATCGCTATGTGATTAACACCCAAAGAGAGATCATGTTTTGCTTGTGAGAAAAGTTTAGTCTACGAGTCTGCAACATTCAGATCCGTATGTATTTTGCAAATTTGTATGTCTACAATGCTCTGCACGGAGCTACTCTAGCTAATTGCTCCCACTTTCAGTATGTATCTAGATCGAGACTTGGAGTCATCTAGATCGATGTAAAAAGCTTGCATCGACCTAACTCTTTACGACGAACTCTTTTTATCACCTCCATAACCGAGAAATATTTCCTTAGTCCTCTAAGGATAATTTTGACCGCTGTCCAGTGATCTACTCCTAGATCACTATTGTACTTCCTTGCCAGAAAGATGCTAAGGTATACAATAGGACTGGCAAACAGCATAGCATAGTTTATAGAACCTATGACTGAGGCATAGGGAATGACTTTTCATTCTCTTTCTATTTTCTGATGTGGTCGGGTTTTGAGTCTTTACTCAACTTCACACCTTGCAACACAGGCAAGAACGCCTTCTTTGACTATTCCATTTTGAACTACTTCAAAATCTTGTCAAGGTATGTACTCATTGAAAAAACTTATCAAACGTCTTGATCTATCTCTATAGATCTTGATGCTCAATGTGTAAGCAGCTTCGTCGAGGTATTTCTTTGAAAAACTCTTTTCAAACACTCCTTTATGCTTTCCAGAAAATTCTACATTATTTCCGATCAACAATATGTCATTCACATATACTTATCAGAAATGTTGTAGTGCTCCCACTCACTTTCTTGTAAATATAAGCTTCACCACAAGTCTGTAATCAAAGCATATATTCCAACTCTGAGATGCTTGCACCAGTCCATAGATGGATCGCTGGAGCTTGCTCACTTTGTTAGCACCTTTAGGATCGGCAAAACCTTCTGGTTGCATCATATACAACTCTTCTTTTAAGAAATCCATGAAGGAATGCAGTTCTGACATCCATTTTCTAGATTTCATAAAATGCGGCAACTGCTAACATGATTCGGACAGACTTTTAAGCATCGATACGAGTGAGAAAATCTCATCGTAGTCAACACCTTGAACTTGTCAAAAACAGCTTGTGACAATTCGAGATTTGTAGATAGTAATACTATTATCAGTGTCCGTCTTCCTCTTGAAAATCCATTTATTCTTAATGACTCACTGATCATTGGCAAGTCAATCAAAGTCCATACTTTGTTCTCATACATGGATCCCATCTCAGATTTCATGGCCTCAAGCCATTTCGCG